ACAGGTGCCTTACTAGTAGTAACAAGAAGCTAGTAGTAACAGGTGCCTTACTAGTAGTAACAATCTGTGAAGACACTGATGTTCGAGAATCGAAGGTCCTCGAGTTTTTGTTGCAAGAGATGTATACTATCCCTGAAACAAACATGGAAGTGGACAAACCCCGTGTTTGTAAAGATAAATGGTCTTTCCAGGGGCCATTTGTCCACTTCCAGGGTAATTCTGAAGGTTTGGAGCTTGGCTTGATAGCTTGTATCTCGATGATTTTTGTTGGTCTGCTGGTTTGGAACTTCTGCAGCATGGATCTGAGTCACCAGGCGTGATGCTCAGCGCCTCAACGAAGAGATCAAGATCATGAGGTCACGCGCTGCGGTTTGTGGGGCACTGCCAGAAGCAAACACTAGTATCATCTAGTATTAGTATGTATTAGTATTAGTAAGTAAGACATGTCCAAGCAATATTACAATTAAATAGTCTCTATACATCGTTGCATGCAGAGCGTTGTTCCTGAATCCAAGTGTTTGGCGTTGTCTTAGGCAAGGCAGCAGGGGTTTGAAGCCTTAGCAGTAGCATCGGATAATTTCTTCTCACAGAAGCTACTGTATTGATATTGCGCATACTCCATACAATCACTGATGATTTGTAGGAATTGCACTTCTGGCCACGGTAGAAACGGCCAAAGCCCGCCCTGTTGTTTGGCTGAGCCGAGCCTGCAGCGTATGTTCATCGTGTTTTATTGCGTGTTGAGCATGCTGTGTCTTTGAACACCAGAGCGGAAACTGGTTGTCCCCTTGCTTGGTAGATGAGAAAAGAGCAAAGGCTTTGAGGTATACTGGTATACTGGTATACAAAGTCCTACAATGACAATGTGAATCTCCCCAGAGCACAGGAGGGCAAGGGGTACAAGAAGCTGTTGTGTGAAGCGGCTTTTTTTTTTGGATTTTGGATATATAATATACGATATATAGTATGTATTGTAATATATTATATAGAGCGCTCACGTCACTCAATCTTTACTTCTCCCCTGCCCCTCCAAGTGCTAACCCTTAGCTGAGTCGCATCTACACACACAGAGCCGAAAGGAAGACACCCGCAAGTTATTACCCTTTGTTTGCAGGTTCTTATGCCCACCTTCCGGCGTGTCTTTGGGACATGATGGTATCCGTAATGGTATACCAACACCATTTCATAGCCCCGGCCCCGAATACTACTCGTCCATGTCCCTTGTGGAGGCTCAAAAACCCGTCAATACCATGTTCCACACGAGTTCCACGCAAGTTCCACCGACGAGGATGTTAGATCACGCAAACATCGTTCAGCTCTTCGAGACCTTCGAGGTGCGGGGCAGAGCGGCGCATGGAGACGGATAGGATGATCTGAGTAGCGATGCCCTTTGTTCCGTTCGTAGCGATGCCCTTTGCTCCTAGTAGCGTTCTTTTGCTCCTAGTAGTAAGGCCACGAGTCCCTAGTAGCTTCTTGTTACTAGTAAGAATGCTCCTATGCTCACAAAAGATGCCATGAAAATTCCGGGGGTGATGACGGTGATGAAAGAATGAACACATGGCCCACATTGGACCCACATCCCACGTGTTTTGACCCAATTGAGAAATCATGGTTGAGGATCTCAGAACGACATGAATTGTGGGAGGGATGTTCTTAGAGTACTTGTACAGTGCTTCAAGGCAAACATTTGCGATTCACGCTCACATCGGCGCAAAACAGATCAAAAAGAGGACACACTCAGCGATGGTCTGAGAAACAGAAGGGTGGGGTGGAGTTTGTTCAACATCGTCTCATGGTGCCGCTAAAGACCTTGACCCCCACGCCTTTTGCCTTCCTCCAGTCTACCACATGGCCAATTCACCGGCTTTTTGGTGCCGAACGCCCTGCACAGGATGCTGAGAATGTTTTCCTTGTCATGGAGCTCTGTAGTGGCGGCGAACTTCTAGGCACGATGGGTCGTGGGACCAAACGTTGGATCGCAGTGAAGCCGGAAGGTCCGAGGTGGATTTGACGTATGGAGATCACGATCAAGACATATCAGTATAGACTATGTGTTTTTTCCATGTTTTTCCGCTTCACTGGCAAAAAAGCAGCGAACCTGACTGCACCAAGCGTGGACATTGAGGAGCACAAAACGGGGCGGACTTCTCAGATAGAGGTCGATAGGCCAAAAAACCACCAAACTGCTCGTACTTGTAGCATCTTGTAGCCATTCATAGCCATGGTTTGCTGCATGGGTCCCTTCCGGGCACCGTTCGAGATTGTGCAGGTTTCATCCTGGAGACTGGGTACCACAGTGAGTTGCAGGCAGCCAACATCATGCGCCAGGCAAACGGGCCGGACCGTTGACGTGATTGATGCGCAGGACTTTGTCCCCGGTCGCCGTCACTCCGTCGCCCAGCAGTCCAAAATCACAAACTGATCGACATTTCCACTCGAAGACCCTTTGGTGCAGGTCAACCACAGCTCCTGTTCCTCGTGTTGTGGTCGATTCAAGTCAGTTGGACACGCATGATGCCTAATCACAGC